CTGGCTCATTTTCATTTTCATCAGTCGGACTTCTCCCTCGCCCTAGATCTGACTTTCAAGGACATGGTAGGTTTTCCTTCTCAGCCTTCCACCTAATCCGGTTTTAAACATTCATTTCTGAAAAATGTTACGTAGGAAGACTTTGGATGCCACGTTTTTAATTTAACGGACGAGATGAAATTTCAGTCACTCCTAGCTGAAGTTGGCTGTCAACCAACTGCTAACTCGCCATCTGCCAATTAAATGGCTTTTTCTTGTCGACTCGACTTATAGAAGAAAAGTCAATGAACGGGTTATTTAAATATCGTCACCAAATCGTTAAAAGCATTTTATACATTTTCTCAGGTATTACGTTTCAGTTGTAACCTGTTTAGAAACTTCGAGAAGTTTTCTTCTTATTAACTTTGTTTCGGGCTATTTACAGGGGTGAAGGACAACTTAGGGGACAACGTCAAAAGTTTTCAAATTATTTTAAATGCTAGAGTTCGTACTTTGCCTCTGCCGGCTATGATGTTTCTTACTGAGAGATGAGAAGATCCTTGCGCTTGCGCTGCGAAGATTCACGCGCTCTCTTTACTCGGAAGATCCAACGATTAATTGGGATCAAAAAGTAAAACAAATATGGCGGTGGCCGAATGTTCAGCAGCTAAACGCATCCACGTTTTGAACAGTTTCAACATTTTCGTCCTGTTTCACCCGCAGAAATGCTATCGGCCTTCTTATGAAATTTAAAAGAAAAGAAGAAACTTTGATCGATTAGTTTGTGTTTGTATGCTTTGGTTTACCGTATTGTGCCATCCTAAACAAAGTCTGCGGTCTGCGGTGGATAGAAAGAACTAACATGGTGTTTTTCCTTAATAAAATGAGCGGCATTTACCTTCATTTGACATTTTATCTTCATTTGGCCGAACCACGTTATCGATAGATTATGAGTTCAAAGAATTTTTTATTCGAATCTTACAGGGAGCCGTTATGAATGGGCTCAATTATCAGCCGCTGTTCGGGAATACGAGCCCGCGCTCCTCCCTCAGCGAAGAGTCGACACGAGAGAGCGGCGGAAATCGAGGTTATGATTAAAGCTCTGAAAATTGCATATCTACATAAAATTTCGGTCTAAATATAACGAAGTTAAATAATCTTGCAGGGACTTACAAACTCGTGCGACTTTTTCCAGCTCTGCTCCCACATAAATGTAATCTTCTAAAACAAAAGTACGTGCAGGGCCGCACGTTAAGAAGACACCCAGTATGAAAACTGGATTTACAAGGAGTTCTTTCCTTTTTTCCTTTCTTTTGAACCAGAAACAAAAACTATTCGACAGCATATCATGATGGTTAACACATACTGGAGAGGAGACACAACAAAGGTTATCCTGCTACAAGTTCTTGTTGCCAATTCTTTATTGCTCTTCTCATCAGTCACGGGCGATGCTGCAACATGTAACACCAAATCTGGTAAGTATAACTATTACCCAGGTCTTTTTCGTCTATGAATATAATCATCAGTGACAGTTTTATTTTTACAATTGTTGACACTTCAATCAATAGGGAACTAGCTAATGATAAGCCAGCTTTTTAAAAATTTCTGGCTTTTACAGTTATACCTGAAGTTAAAATCTTCTCAAGTCCGCCAAACCGCACGCAACCCATCGCAGCAGCCATTAATCTGACCTGTGAAGCGTGGCCCAAGCACAAAGACGTGTCTTATCCCAGGAGATGGATCAAGTATATCCAGTGGTATAATACCCATGGAAGACAAATTGGAGACAAATGCCTCAACACACAATCAGTGAAGAATCTGAAATGTCCATTAATTCTCAAAAATCTGACCATAGAAAACTTCGGGAACTACACTTGTGAAGCAGAAAATGACTATGATGGATACTGCACGAGAACATCCGTTGAAATTCTTCATAAAGTTAACAATCAGATTATTCCCAACACAAATAAATTTGGGAACGGTAAATATTATCATTTATAGTTATTTTCTTTATACCTGAAAACGAAGTCTCGAAGAGCACTGAAGAGTTTTAGTTTCTATCAGTTGCATATTCCGTTTGTTTTAGCTTTTTGATTATCTCTTTTAGCACCCCATCTTCTATTTCCTGAGGTGGTTGAAAACCCAAAGAACCAAAGCGCTTTCATTGGCTCAAATGTAACTTTTAACTGTACTGCCACGGGTCTTCCAACACCAGCCATCTCATGGATGAAGAACAACGACTCATATGCGGTAACATCCAATGTGAGAGCCAGGGTTGTTCCAGAGAACAAAAATAATCACAGTCAGCTGATAATAACGGAAGTGAAGATAGAAGATAATGGCAAATATCAGTGCATTGCAAGAAACAGTGATGGTGAGAGGACATCGTCAGCGGCTTTCTTGTACATAAAAGAGTTAGGTAAGACTCCCTTACATTGTTGGAAATCTTAGCTTTATTCAGTTGACTTTGGCCAATAAACATTGCAAAGAAATGTTTCACTTCTCACTCCTTCTCTCTGTTTAGTCCA